AGGGAAGATTGGACATGAGGCTAGCAACTCCACCCCGTAAAAACACCACTGCTACTGAGAATTCTAAGCTCTAGCTTGAGGCCTTATGTTCCACTGGGAACTCAAAGGAATCAATTAATAATGATAATGGAAGTAATCTGTGACAGTGTAGAGTGGAGTTGTGTTTTATATCAGCTTGGAGTTTTATATTTCATGTGAAGGTTGATATTCTGCCCGGAAACACAGACTGAAGCCGATGATTGTCTTTAGGGATTTCTTCCCGCTCACCATGGGCTTGAGTCAGTGATTCCCAACTAACCTAGGTGGGAGGTGCATGTCCACCAGTGATAAGTGCCTAATTTTCACCTTCATCCTTCCACTTTTGTAAAGCCGTTCGCTGACATCCTAAGATACAGGATATCGGTTTTCTGCGTGAAATAATCTTTGCATCAAAACTGAAGTTAGTATTCTATGTATCTATCTGTACAGAAGGTGTTTCAGTGAGTGGAACATCTTTGAAAACTGACTTGGCCACAACTGATATCTTAAGTTTGTCACAGACATTCAGTTGCAAAGTGCTGTCAACAGATTCAGAAGTTATTTGAAAAGACTGTCTTGAGAGATTTTTACTTACTGAATTTCAGCGTAGGACTTTGCGCAAAGTGCGCATTTCAAGTTGCAACACTCCCCTAAAATTACGAAGTTGGAGAAAAAAGTTCAAAATAAATACAATGTTCGAGAGAAAAATTAAGTACATGGAGAATAATTAGAACGTAATGGATCCGGGAGTTCACGAAGAGGATGCATTAACGCCACTGAGAACAATTTCGAGTCATATTATCGAGAGTCTCCAGCCACTGGTTCCTAGCGTATCTAGTCGACACATTCTTTCGCCACCCAAACCAGCAATTATGGACTTCATGGATCAATGCCAGGTTTCAACATGACATCCAGTATACCTTTTCTAACAGAATCTCACGTCAGCCAATACTGCTCGATGTGCATGCACAACAAGTATCCTAGCCATCTCAATAGATTTAGCTTCATAATCTCATTGACTGAGTTTCCCTCCTCATCTAACCTCAATACTTCTCAACGTCATTGTAGATTAAATTGTTGCAGGTCAGAAAATGAAGATGAAAACCTATTTCTCCACAAATGTGGCTTAGAAAAACTTCCTATCAAAATAACTGAATTTCTGTGGGTCCCTTGCAACTTTTTGGTTCTTATTGTTCTATTACGACGGACATCACGGATTTTTACCCACATGAAGCTAATATGCGTAAAGTCAGGTACTTTTTATTTGAGGAATGCGTTCATAATTCAAGTTACAGATATCGGGATTTATTTATTTTATTTTAATTTTATTATAGCTTAATTCCACACAGTATTTTGATACACCTATGGAATTTTCAGCATGTGATATCGGTTGCCCAAATTTAGCAGGCCAACCATTGATATCAGGTGTGCGTCGGCTGGGGATCGAATCCCGGACCATGTTCATGGTCGACGAGCGTCATAACCGCTGTGCCATTGACGGGATATCAATGTGTTACCAATTGCGTCAAAATAATGGCTGTTGTTGCGGTTCAGTCTATGTATGTCGCGTGAAAAACTGATTCGTCAAGAACAGGTATAATCTGACCATATACGGGACTAATTTCAATTCATGTAACCAACCCGTTAATCATTACTGCTAAAAACTGTTACACATTTGGTAAACACGTTAAGTGAGTTGAAACAGCAGCTGACTTTCAGTGACACATGTTACAAAAATTTAGTCGGTAGCAAACCTTGGATCCATGCTCCGCGTCTGTTTGCATTTGCCAGTCAAAATGTATTAGAAATTTTGAGAAACTCATGTTTCCAACTTAATCTGAGCCTGAATCACTCATTGTTGGAGTTAGAGATTTTACCATTAAGTGATTTTGATAGAATATATATGTTTTTACGAGTTGATCACGGATTGATATCAGTTAGAGAACCATTGAAAACCAGGGAGTACTGGACAGCTGCTGTTTCATCCTAGTTTGGGAATCATCGGCAGTACGCACCCACTGGGATTCGAACCCAGGACCTTCCGGTTACAAGGCAAGCTCGTATACCATTCAGCCACTGGGACCCGATTCAGTGGCTCATGAATCGATGTGTTTATCTAGGCCTAATGCATTCAATAATAAAGTTTTAAATTACTATCAGATGCATGTAGATTACTTTCTAACATTTGACACCAAAATAGATGACAGTACTGTGTACATTGTTAACTGCCAATGTGATTTATGGTATGGCCAGTTCGACCAAGTAGCCAGCCAGCCAGTCGAATGGTTTCAAATGATTGGCCGTGATAAGCTTGGCCGCAAACGAGCAAAACGTCCGCCCGGTGCTAGATCACCTCGATCTGGCTAGCAAGCACAACTGGTTGGTACACAACTACTCATCCCAATCAATCAGTAGTATACAGTTTCATCCAAATATGCTTGCTTTCTTGATTACTATTTATATTATCAAGCAAATCATGTATTGCGATCAGAATAATTTGGATTCCAAAACAAGCTTTGGTGAAAATTTCATCCCTCGAACTGTGTACACTGAGAATAGCTGCTTACTGATTTGCAAACTGTGAATTCGACGGTATCTAGTTGTGTGTGCGTGTGTGTGTGAAGTAAAATATCGGTATATGTGTTGAGACCCTGGTGAGCATTTCTCAAAACAGAAAAACCATCGCATTTATCAGCAGCATGAAAATAAATAAATAAATAAAACAGGTATTCATGTATAGTAAGCTATTTATAAAGTATCAACGACATCAAAAGAAATAGTCTCAATGTGTTCTTCAACAAACTGGTCCGAATGAAACATTACAAGTACTTGTTACAATGTCCATGAATTTACTACAAACCTTTTGCTCAGCGCCCCACGTTTGTGGAACTGCTTTGTAAGAAAAAGGAGTACAAGAATTATATCAAGTTGTTTTTTTTACATAGAGTAGCTGGTACCAAAATCAAACATGCCAGAAAAAGACATAATTTGGAGTAACGCACATATTCTCATGAAATTCTCTCTATATGTGATATTTATTTATGTCAATGAGAAATATAGAAGTTATATTATTCTGCTATTTTAAAAAGTTTGAAACTTAAACAACATTATTTTTTGTCACAATTTTGTCTGTTGCTTTATGCAATGTCCACGAAAATGTTTTTTCTACTTGGCTAAATACTACTGGTGTCAGTCAGAGTAGAGTCAGTTGGCGTTAGTCTTAGGTTGGTTCTTCAGAAATCAATTATCCAGATCAAATTCCTGATGGACCAGGCTATGAACTATATTAAATTGTATGATGATTGATGATGGTAACCGGCCATCCACGCTGAAATAGGGGCTGACTGAGATTCCAGTTTGTAGTCTCTCGTCTAGGAAACTAAGTGTTTAAGCCAGAGAAGTACATCATATGCTAAACGAGACTACTTCGCAGTAAATTAAGTATTGAAGACGGCAGTTGGGAAGATGTGCGAAGTACCTCGAGGAACACTTTAGAGGTAGGCACATAATGCAGTCGCAGTTAGGTTTAGAGATAACTGAGAATATAGTAAAAATTCTCATTTAGACATTTAGAAGACAGAACGACTGTCCACTCATTTTGTGATCGAGGATGGTGATCTAAGAACATGGACTCAAATAACTAGGACTTTAACTGGTGTGAGAAAGAGATGCTACTTTGTCTAGCTAATCTCAACCGTTAATTTTACTGTAACAGTTTCACTCATACACCTTTAAAATTCTAGAGTTTGTAGTTTTCCAATGTTTAACTAAACCTTGACATCAAAAACTAGACATTTTTCATCCGAAGGAGGCATAAAGTTGTCTCGTTTATATACTTTATAACAGTGTATCTTACTAGGAGGTGTTTAGAAAATAAATCACCCTACTGAAGGCGCCGTGCGTCGGTGGTACAGTGGTCAGGACTCCTACCAACAATGCACATGGTCCGGGGTTCGATCCCCTGCCGACGCACACCTGATATTTATGGTTGGTCTGCAAAATGTGGGCTACCGATATCACATGTTAGTGCGTCGGTGGCATAGCGGTTAGGACGCTCGCCGACCATGCACATGGTCCGGGGTTCGATCCCCGGCCACAGACGCACTCCTTTACCTCGCTAAGCCAGAAATAATGCTGGTGAAGAGGAAAGGTTGGTCTTGAGGCTAGCAACCCCATCCTGTAAAATAAACACTGCTACAGAAACTTCAAGCCATTAGCTTGAAGCCCTATGTTTCACTGGGGGAACGTGAAGGAATAAAAAAATCTGAAGGCGCCACATCCTGACACTTGTAATTCTGTGTTGGTGTGATACTGATAATGTGATCCAAGGGATTATTATTCTCACATATTCCCACACTTCAATACTGCATTAGTAGCAGAATACTGCATGTATTTGAACATTCTATATCATGTAGTTTAGTGTAAACCAAAATCACACGCTCAGTGATTGGTTAAGGAATACATATATATATATATATATATATATATATAAACAACGGCTTGATTAGTGAAAAATATGCCTTGGCTTCTGTGTCTTGCCTTCTGTTGTTACACTTGTATTAATAGTCATAATGATGAATTAACTTGTGAAATGTTTTAGTCAAATGGCATCCTTCAAGGCAGTTCACACTGTAATTTCAATTTATCAAAGATGTACTTAAGTAGGTTTTCCCCTTCATCTGATATTCTTTGGTTAACTGAAGCTTACAAACAACACTGTAGCATTCCGTGAAGGCGATAGTAATATACCAGTTAATCTGGACACTTTAAATGGTAATATGTGGAAGTTTAGGAAGTGTTGTTACTCATATTTTAAAGGATAAACTGTTGTTTTAGGACTAAGTTGCGTGAACTCTTCAAAAAACGATCAGTGACACGGGTAAAGAGAATAGACTGTGTTGGAGCATTTTACACCATCAGTTAGCCACTATTCAAACAATGCATGACATCCAGTTTTCTATTTAACATTTTAGACAAAATATTTGAAAAACCTCTGGTTTATTTAAATAAAACAACAAATAAATTGTCAATCACAAATAAAAATAAAACGGATTCATAAAATTCATACAATACTATACCAAACACTCGACAATCTCCATACTAAACGATATCGATGAAAAATTAAAATTAAAATAGTAAAGCACAATAAGTGTCAATGACAACGGAAGAAAAAATTAGGTTATAAACCAGAAGAGAACTAAACATACACAGAATGTCATGAGATTTTCGGTTAACTTCGACAACAACAACAAAAAAAAGCTGTGTGTGCACAAAGAACAATTAGTAAAATAAAAATGTTTTTTTAAAAAAAAAGTGAAATCTCATGATACGATCACAAACAACGATTTGTAGAAAAGAAAGTCAGAGTGGATCACAGCCTCTTTATAACACTCCTCGAGAATGCAAACACGTTCAGGAAAGTGTAAATCAGATACAGATATATATATTTGAATACAATAGAGTCAACGAATTGTACTATTTTGCTTCAGCGCTGTATGTAATCTACACTCAAGGTGTTTCTCTGTCTTCTTAACTCTTTTATGTGTTATAGTTTGTTTTGTTTTTTTAATTCACATTGCGTCAAAATGGAAACGTTGTGATTCTTTCTGCTTTTCTAACCGATCTTCACGAAACTCGAACCATTGAAGAATACCAATGATAATTAAGAGTAGTATACAGATACATAGTAGTGTAATGGCTATGTATAAGACCTTCATGTTGTACAATGGCTGTAGAAACAATTTCATAGTCCATCTGCAAAAACCAAACATAAAAAAAATAAACAGAACAGGAAAATGTAAGAGGGTTTTTTCTTCTTTCTTAAATGTGCGCATAAAGTTTACGAGAAGTGCATAAGCAAATAGCCCAACAGACAATAACCGGATGTTGTAATCAGACAGTGGGGCACGTAATTTTGCCTACATTGCCTACCTACCTGATGGCACTTATCAGCATGGTGTATGAGAGATTTTTCGAAAACATGCATTCCAACATCATTCATTTGGACAGTAATCATGGAACTATTGGAATTTACGAAAAGTCTACTGTGGTAGCAAATGGATTCTGCTAAATAATTTCAGGAAAGTATATCGAGTAGCCGCCAGAATGAAACAATATGAGTGTATCTGACACACACTAATTGTATGGAGGTTAAGTTCCTGCACTAGAAGGCATTCAGTGAGAGGTAGTCAACACATAGAGCAAAGTGCTTAAGATAGATAGAATGAACTACGGGAAGTTATGCTAAAGTTAGATATGGTGAAGATGGAGAATAATGAAAAATGCACTGGCAAATTTTTGTATATTTTTATTATCAAACAGTTATTCACTGTGATAAAGAGGTTTATGGTACTGCAATTTTACCCAACGTTTATATGTCTATCTTCCCTGAAGGTTCCTATCGAAGAAGTTCCATCAAACAGAGGACTGAAGTGCTTATCACATGTTCAAAACGCTTCAGTTGGTATACATTCACATAAATAGCGTTGTATGAATAAAATAGCTATTTTTCTGATTGATTTAAAACAGAGAAGTATATCTTTCGTTTAAAACAAAGACTTTGTTCTTTCTTATTGAGACTGCTGAATTGTGACCATAGATGCAAGTGTGTCCTACTATAGTAAACCTCCATACAAAATATTTTACTATGTGTATTACTTTTAGTGTAACACATTGGTGGGAGTGCACAAGTGAGTGCTTTTTCATTCTTTTGCGTTTCGAGTGGAACATAAGCCTTGAAGCTTTGAAATTCAGGTGTAGCGGTGTTGCTATTTGATTTTTCACAGAGTAGCGTTCCTAATCTCACGTCCAACGACCTTACTTCATTGCACGGTTTACTATTAGCCAGTGAACACGGAGAGCTTTAAGAATGTGTCATCCAGAAATCGAACCACTTACGAACAAAACTTTATGTAACAATATTAAAATGAAGTGGACTGATACAGAAATTATTCTGAGGGACGCATATCAATGTAGTGAGATTAAAAACGTAAGGTGGAACATCGATCACAATACGCCTTGACTCGGTTATACTTTGGCTGCCAGAATAGTGTCGAACGTCTGACCCACACGACAGCTATGTAAAATCCGCGGTAATGACAGTGAAACAGAAGTCTTTCTCGAAATTAAAGTCCTGTACTTCACCTATATTGCAAGAGCTTGGAGGTTCATCTGAAATTTGTACTTGGTCAAGGATTTTGTCTAGATTTTAATCGAAAAAGTTATTACAAAGAATATTCCTTGTACAATCGTTCCGTCTTAAATGTTTCCAAATGGGAATTGTTTTCTTCTCGATTTCAACCATAACAAAACTTAGTTTGGTCAAATTTACCGAAATAGAAAGTTCATACAACTTATGACTTCATAAATTTTGAAAAGCAAATAATTTCGAACGAGTCAACTGAACGAAATGTTGGCATTATTTATTTCAGTTTTGTTGAGATTTGTGCAAATATAAAATTTTCACTTATGTCTGCCTTCTAATCGGCACCAATGTTTTTTCGGTCATAACCTTGACCATAGTTCAGATAAAAGTAAATAAGCTTATTGTCATTCAATTCTCCAGCCTAATTAAAACATTGCTAAATAGCAACAAAAAACATACTAGTTGCACGTGAGAAAACAACATTTCAGACAGTTCATTTTCGCTTTCACATTGTTAAAAACAATTTGAATAAGGCAAGAACAACAGTGGTTTTTGCAGAATAAAATGGTACCATAACTTATTTCATTGGCTTCTCACCAGCTGCTTACAGCATAAAGACAATATTAAGTTTATTTACAGAAATAATTTTAACATACTTACACAGAGTTTATTCTTAAACAAAAAATTAATCAATGGATATATGCATACAATGCTAATAATAATAGTAATAATAATAATAAAAACTTTATCCCAAACAACTATAAATAATACATAATGGAAACTTTCAGCGTTACTTAAACCGTGGTAACTGGGTGTTTTCATTCTCTCTTTCATCTGATTACGTAACGCCGAAAGTTTCCATTGTGTATTATCATTATTGTTTGACATAAAGTGCTTATTATTATTATTATTAGAATTGTATGCATATATTGATTAATTGATTTTTGTCTAAAAATGAACTCTGTGAAAGTATATTAAACAGCGCCCATCCTAATATTAAGTTTACAATGGAGCATGAAAAAGAGGAGAAGTTCCATTTTCTTGACCTGGGTATCCAACGCGATATAAACGGCAAAATCATAAGATATATACACAGAAAAGAGACCTGGAGGGCGGTTTATCTTAACTTCAAAAGTTTCTGCCCTATAAGTTACAAAAAAGGATTGGTGAGAACATTATTTGATCGTGTAAGGAAGCTGTGTTCAGAAGAAAACATTGAGGAAGAGCTATCCATTGTGGAGAAATGCCTACGCGACAACGGTTACCCACAAAAGTTCATTGACAAGTATGGGGGACGTCATGTTGAAAAAGTGAAAATCAGCACAGTTGAGAAAAAGCCTATCTTTCTGCAGCTTGCATTCAAAGGTGATGATACTGCCAGTAGAATAAGATGCAGACTGAACGCTACCCTGAAAAGAACATATCCAGCTGCCAAGCTTGTATGTGTTTATCAAACCACTAGTTGTTTGAGACAATCAAAAGTGGACAAATACCCACCTCATGTTACCTCCAACTGTGTCTACCAATTTACATGTACGTGCCAAAGCACATACATCGGAAGAACAGAGAGAAGGGTTAATGTCCGCATTTCTGAACACATACCAAAGAACCTGAGACTGAAAGGTCCACAAGTATTAAACAGTGCAATTGCGCGTCATCTATTAGACACTGGTCATAATGTAGACAACTTGAAGTCATTCAAAATAATTAACAAGCAAAAGAAACCTAACTTGCTACGCTTTGCTGAAGCAATTGCTATCAGACGACTTAAACCAAATCTATGTACGCAGAAAGAGACAGCGGTGAATCTTGCACTGCCCTGGTGACAACAGAAAAAAATGCAACAGCTTGTTTTTGTTTCCAAGCCTAATTGCCTAATTATTCTATAAATATTTATAAACTGTCAAATATTGATCACAGTTCATTTGAATTATTCTATAAATAGTCAGTGTTTGTAACTCTTAATTAGTTAAATCATTCCGGACTAATGTTACTTATACTTTCTACCAATTACTCCTTGTGATCGTGGAAAAGTATGTTCAAATCTTTAATGTAATGTAATTCATATTTTTCATCGTTCAGGTTGTAACCAGTTGAGAAGAATCCTCGAAATAATAAAAGATGAGCTCATATTATCCTGTTTCTTGCTTTGTCAAGTATATTAAAATTGTTTCTGTACATAAACTTAATAATGTCTTTGGGTTGTAAGCAGCTGATGAGAAGCCAACGAAATAAATGATGGTACCATTTTATTCTGCGCAAACCACTGTTATTCTTGCTTTATTCGCATTCATTAAGAGGAATAAAGTCAATTTATTTATTGTATACTTACGCTGAAGGATTATTCAAAGGAAATGGATTGATAACAATTTGAGCTTTGGGAACTATGAATGATAGTAAACGTGATCGAATAGCCTATAACAAATGAAATGAAATCCAATTAATAATTTGACGATAGATAAGAAAAAGCAAAAACAAAAAAAATTTAGGAAATACAACAAAATTACAAGTTCACACACACTAACAGTCAATGTTGGTGAGTGATAGAAAACTCATCACATTAATATTATTATTTCCTTTAATTCCTAGAGGAATATAGGGCTTCAGCCGTGCGTCTCCAGTGCGTTCGGTTCTCTGCTAGAGTCTTCACCTGGCTCCAAGTCTAGACGACCAACTCGCCGCTTCCCTTTCGGGTTCCACTCGAGCAATGGCTTGTCTAGTGATGTCACTTGATGGTTTCCTCAGAGTATGGCTAATCCATCTCCATTTCTTCCTGCCTATTTGTTTCACAATCGGTTCCTACTGGGTTGGTTCGCTCCCAGAGATTTCTCACTATTGCTGATCTTCTCTGGCCGGCCATCTGATCTTGAGTATTGGGCGAAGACAACTGTTAATGAAGGTCTGTAGTTTGTTTGAGATGCTCTTTATGACGCGCAGTGCAAGTCTGTGATCCGTATAGTAGCACTGACTTCACATTGGGGTTGAAAATCCGGATCTTATTTTTGATGCTGAGTGCTGTTGACTTCCACACATCACATGAAGCTAATTATCTCGAATTAAATGTCTGTATTTATATCTCTAAATGTGTGGATCGCTGTATACAACACTCGACTTGAACATACTAGATCCCAGTCTCATGTATTCTGGTAATTTCCTAATTCCCGTGTATGCATTTAGAAAAACCAACAAATTGAGTGAAGAAATATGCATTCCTTTTTAGTTAGTTCCTCATCATCCGCTCTATACTAATATTTAGTTTTCTCTACTTCAAAAGTGTACCAATCATGTCGTTATTTTTACTAATCAGTTTAAGGTATAGGAAAGGGGGTTAAAATTATGAGGTTAAAATTCATCAAAACAATTAACTATAACAGATATTAGTAACAAGATATCCAAGTTTTGAAGTTACAACGGCGGGGGAGGGGGGAAATAGTTTTTAAAACTTAATACACATTATATGGTTGGTCATGGCAAAGAAAGACGCTGTGTAAATTTTCTTTTGAATACAGAAACTTCATCTGAGCGTGTTCAAAAGAAATTTCTACAGCCCCACTTCTTTGCCGTGGCCAACTACATAACATATATATTAAGTTATTTAAAAGCGATTTTTCCTTCTCCTTGAAGTTATCATTTGACCACGTTATTTTATTGTGCACAACTCTAGCTAATTCTAATGACTTGTTTGTATCATACGTAATCCCACCGAGTCATCCTATTCTTCTTAGTCATCATTGCTATTTTGCAAATCTCTTGATTACGTAATAACTCGTTGCTAACGCCTAACTTGTCTTGAATTCCGTGACTAATTTTCACCCTTCCTTCAGAACTTAGATTTCTTGTTGCTAACATCTGTTAGTCAGTGAATTGTTTTGATGACTTTTGACCTTTTAATCACAACCCCGTATACCTAAAACTGATTAACGAAAATAACCACTTGACTGGTAAAATAAAAAATTTGATGTTAAAAATTACATATTGGTTTAGAGCCGATGATGAGGAACTAATTGAAAAGAAATATATTTCATCTATTTTAACCTGACGACTTGAGCCGTATAGCTTATCATCCGATAATGATTTATCGCAATAACCAAAGCTTGCACGATTCACAGCTGAGATTATCACTATTGTGTTGTAAAAACAGTAAAAGTGTTTTTACAATTCTACAAACCACCACCAAAAACCATCCTAAGAGGGCTGTGGCATGAATATACCATTTATAATGTCACCACCTTACAGTTTCTGATAATCATCTAATTACTACAAACTTTCAACAGACGTAACTAAAACATTTTGTCATCTTCTCCTTAACTCTTCATGTTTAAGTTAATAAACGAATTCCCATGCACTCATAGATTAGAACTATTCAACTTAAAAAAAGAGATACTTTTTCAGAAACATGACTGCACGTTTTAAATCCTCACTAATTACGAGCCTTACTGGCTTCATCGTAACTTTCCGCCTTATTCTTTACTCTGCGATAAAAAGAAGAATATTCTAATCATTGGGGAGAAATAATCGACATTGAAAAATAATTGAATAATTTAAGAATTGATGTGTCATTATATAAAGACCTATTATATAATATTACAGTATTGTGGTAAGGTGTCTCATTGCATTTTGAATACATATCATATAACAAAATATCTAGGATCAAAAAAGGAACTACATATCATGCAATTAGTCTTCGTTTGAATGATAATTTCTAAAATACAAAGAGTAACTCACATTTTTAGACGGAGGTATCGACACAGTTAGTTTTTCTACATAATTTGCAAATGGACCCAAGCCTAATACTTCAAACGGTACTTGAAGAGCACTACAACAACTCTGAGAACTTAACAGTGCAGAGGAAAGTTGACGACCACCTGAGGCAGCTTCAGTATCCAGAACAGAGCTTATACCAGTCACTGGAAGACCATAAGGTAGTCTGCCATCTGAGCATGCATCAGAAGATGAGCAAAGTCCATTAAGAACAGTAACCTTGAAATAAAAAAAATAAAATGATTAAGTGTAATAAGAAATAATTTAACCAGTAACATTAACTGAGAGCAACAAAAAATGATTGACTGAGCCAGTGGTGGGGTCAGAACAAAACATGGCTTCATCAGTCAGTCAAATCTATACCAGTTAGGTTAAGCCAACCAGCCAGCCATGTAGGGAGGTGTAGACTTCTTGACTGGTTGGGGTCCTCAGGAGGCTAAGAAGCAATGAAGGCTGGAGACAAGTGGTGATATGGCTCAAAATCGTCGTTCTCGATGGTGTGGATGTATTTACTCTTTGGAATTTATAACATCCAGTAAATTTCTATTGTTCTTCCATATCACTATTCTTTTCCCCTGATATCTTTGTCCATTATCTCTGCTTTGAACCTCCCTTTACTCTGTTCTCTTGCTTTGTGTGCTACATGGAGTGTAGCAACTCGAACTGCTGCATATTGGTGCGAAGTTCTACGTTGAAACCAGTCAGTCATTGACTGAACGATAGTAATTTATACACCAGCTGAAATCTCTATACTTTGAAATACCATGGTGACAGATATGCAGTCAATAGAAAACATGGAAGCGACATGGAGTTTACATGTGTAGTTTAATATTGCATGAAAACAAGACATTTCACAAACATTAAAACATGAAGACATAAACAAGCACAGAACTCGTTCCGCATGCACTAATTCTTTTTAAAAATCATGAATAAACCACAAATATAAGGCTGTTTTTGTTTCTATGCACTTTTCCCACTGCATTCGTGTCTTTATGAAGTAGAGCGATTCGAACTACCCCACTTGCATGCAAAGTTCTACGTTGAAAAGACGATGAAAAACGAAAAACTCTTAAAGTTCCTCTACGTAAAAGCAAATCTATTCATCCTGTCGCTTCTGTCCATGGTTATTACTGATTTTACAAAGAAATCATTATTTAGAAATGAGAGAGTTAGTCCTATAGGTAAATATGCAAAATCAATACTTCAAATTGAAGTATAGGCTGAAGATGTTGCCTAGTAAGGCAATGAAAGCTTCGTGAGAAAACCAGTCAGGTCAGAGGACACAACTACATCAAAATCATCCACCAGAGCTACAAATCTACAGTTAACTACAGTCAGTTTTAATAAGTATGTTAAATTAACGGAAGTTCAATTTTATTATTATTATTGTTTCCTTGGATTCCGAGTGGAACATCTCCACTTTATTCTTTTATCTGTGGTTCTCTCTAGCATTGCCCACAATCTCTGATCTCCTTCACATCATCCTCCGATGATTCACTCGTCTTTTCCCATTCAGGTTCCACTAGAAGGCCTGGCGCGTGATATCACCTGATGCTCTCAACGTGTGCCTAGTCCATCTCCATTGTCTTCCACAGATTTGTTGAGCAACAGGTTCTTGATCTGTTCGTTCTCAGAGTTCCTTGTTGCTAATTGTTTCTGGCCATTTGACCTTCAGTATGGAGTCAGAGAGGGGAGTTACTGGTAAAAGTCCCCAACCTGTTCCAGATGCTTTTACATGACGTGTCAAGTTTCTAACCTATATAGAAGCGAATTAACATTAGTCTTTAGAATCCGGACTTTGTTCTTTATGCTGAATTCAGGAGATTTCCAAACCGATTTCAGAGTGATGAAAATTTCCCAATGTAAACGCACTCCAACAACTGAGAAAGAAATGACTCAATAGTCACATAGCAGTTTTAGGGTCAGTGTCATATATATATATATATATATATTCGCCATCTGCGGAGTTCTTAAAGAGCCATTTGCTTTGCAGTTGATTTTGACGGCATGGCGCATACTGATAATCACAGCTTCACAATTAGACAAACAAAGTCAACAACAGCAAAATCATCCCATTAAAACAGTATCATTACTTATATTTAAAAATATACAATTTTTTATTGATTGTTGATTACTCTCTTTTATCTAAGTTGTGGCTAATGCATATTTCGTTTTGAAACAAAAACATAACAGAGATTAAAATCAGCAACTGAAAACATAATGTAGTGACGTCAAAAAAAATTATCGACATTATCTAGAAAGAAAGTAAACCTTTCAATGTTGAGGTGGAAAACAAAAACTCTTTAAACTAATACAGAATTGCATTTTACTGGTTCAATATCATCTGCATATATTCCATTTGAGTTCTGAATGGAATATAGGGTATTCAAGCTCGAGCTTTGAAGTCTTAGTAGCAGTGGCGTTTTTTAAACGGGGTGGGGCTGATAGACTCAAGCTTAACCTTCCCTCTTTTTTTTACCTTGATTCCTACTGGCCAAGCGAGGTTTACTGTCTCACTGACTGGTTTCAACATAGGACGTTGCATAGATGTGCAGCAGTTCGAGTCGCTACATTCCATGTGGCACACAAAACAAGACAGAAGAGAAAAAACAGATTCGAAAGAACTACAATAAGCAGGAATGCGGAGGAGAATGGATAAGTAAAACGGAGAAACAACAGGGTTTAGAGGGTATGGGAAATCACAAAGTGTGAGTGCATTTGTGCTATGAATGAGAACGATTTCAAACACCTCACTAATTGTCTCCAGTCATTGGTTCTGAAAGTCCCCATGACCCTAACCAGGCAGTTTACACCTCCCTATATGCCTCAAACTAATTATGAAAGACTTCATGCATGAGTGCTGTTTCCATGTGATAAATCCTAGTTCTTTTCCAACCTGATCCTATTTCAGCGTCTAACATTGCTCATCGATGAGGGTAGTGGGGTTCGGCATGCGTAGCATTTCTCTCAACCACCTAAATCACTGTAGCTTCAGAACCCCATGTATTGACTTACCCTCCTCAACCAACACTCTAACCACAGCCTCAAAATTACTCACCATATTGCCCCACTCAGCACGGAAGAGAGAGAGCGAACACCTATGGTGGAAGTCAACTAGCCTGTGCATTTCTTCACTTTCAATGGCCGTGTCTTACAGACATGAAGAAGGATGGAGAGAACTGTCGTGCAGTATACACGTCATTTGATCGATAGCCGGATATCACGTCTACGACAGAGTTCGTGTAAGTTGGTAAATACTATACGACCCTTTTGTACCTGTTCTGAGACTCTGTCAGAATTCAGTTTATTGAGGATGATGAAACTTTCCAAATAAGTGAAGTCATCAACACGCTTAGCGACCACTCCACCCCCTATATCTAAGCTAGCAGTCAGTCCTGTAGCATCACTTTACATGTGACATTCGAAGATTGCTGCTCAAGGTGTTCACAAGACTTTGAATTTTGTCAGCGTCTTCACCTAGGAGAGAGGACTATATCATATGCACATACTGAGTCAACGAGATTGCAAGTCTATCGCTGAATCACTGAAGTCAGTTAGGGTGAAGTTCATTAGTACATCTATGATAAAATTACACAAAAATTGGGACAATAGAGTGAAGTTTAAAAGTGAGTTGCCTGGGGGTCGAGCCCCATACCACGAGTGTGAGCGGCGAATATTCTACATATATATATATATATATATATATATATATATATATATGTCAGATCACTACTGAGTAATAGAAACAATAACATGAACTATAATTTCTTACAATGAATACATATGTACGCCTCACCCGTGATGGGTTATCTAAGGGAGAGGTCAGTATGCCATTTTATTATGCTACAGTATTATAATTATTATTATTCATAATATACAAGGTAGAAAAATACATACCTTGATAAAGTATGGATCCGCATCGATAGAATTAAGGAATAATTGAGCCGATGGTTGGCCATGAGAATTTAGCGAAACAACGAACAGGTCTAGAATGCTCTGTAAGGAGAGAAAAGAAATCGTTATAACAAAATATAGACGGGGAAAACGGACTGTCAAGTAAAATGGACTGCAATTCATAAGTAACAATTTACAAAAGCAATTGTGAAGCAACAATCATTAAAATCATCTCAAAACATTTGTCCTACAAGTAAAATCTTATTCGTGCTTTATCACGGTAACTATATATAAATATAGTATATCACAGAATAAGTTACAGAACCTTGAGGTATCGGCTAACAGTGACAACGCTGAAATACTTTCAAATCGATGGGGTCCGGAATTTAACTTTGCCGTACGATGTGAATATTCTAGGTTTATCTCCATTGCTTACTTTTAAGTACGTTTAAAACAACAACAGCAAGACGGTTTCTATATAAGTCTCTTAACACTGGAATTTCATACTGAAACACAGATGCTGTATCTCTAAAATCAATAGTAGTATTTGAATTGGTTTATCAAAAGTAGAGTTTACAGGACTTTTCCGAAAAAAGAAGCTTAGTTATTCGTATATGTTCTGGTGTGCCGAGTTTCTACATGAATTCGTGCTTCAGCAGTAGCGTTTGGGTTTTTAATGAGAAGACAAAACAATTTTTTTATTCTTTGTAAGCGGAAATTTAGACAGTATACTTGCCGACGTCAAAATAAAACTAAAGGATACATTTGAATAAGGCATTTAGGAGGCAAATGTCGTGAGATGATATCACATATTGTATTTTCTATACTATCGCTTTATAACTAGCACGGTTCACAATAATAAAATAAACAGCATGACAATTACTCAGTTAAATAAACAATAGTACATACTAATGACTAATCATATTTAAATAGGTGAAGTAATCAGACCATGGTAGGCGAAGGTTAAAGAATAGAAAACAAATAAAGAGCATAAATAATTAAACTGGAGGTCAAACATGTGCCGATGTTGTCTAATTTGTACACACACATTTGGGGAGATACATAAAATTAACTATCATGTAATTCTTGTAATATAACCTCAGAAATATTATTATGATGGCTATACATAGCTAAAAGTGATACACTGTTACACTATGTTTAGATATAATCTAGTATTGTGGTGGTGTGATACAGACAATGTCTGCCAAAGCAATATCATTCTCACATATTCCCACAGTTCAATACTGCATACAATATATCTGTTTGAACATTCGATTTGATGTTAGACAGAATACATTTCCCATGATTATATACTGCATTAGCAAGAGAATACTATATGTGTATTTGAACATTGTATTTCATATCGTTTAATGTAAACTAAAATCACACACTCGGTGATTGGTTAACGAATACAAACTGTGGATAAATAAACAGCGGTTTGATTAATGAAAAATATACCTTGGCTCCCGGTGTGTTGCATTCTGTTGTTACAGTATTATGAACGAGACTTATTCAGCAGTCAATCGTACAACTCTATGATGACTGATCGAAAATTAACAGAAGTAAACCATTAGTATGCACTTATGCGTACTGGTCTACGACGGACTCGAATACCACACATAAATGACGGAATGAGCTCGATATCGATGTCTTCACAGTGATCACATAAATAATTCTGTGGTTCTCAAGATGGTAAGCTTTACTAAAACACATATTAGATCGCAAACTTAAGATATATATTTTTTTTCGTATGCAAGAGATGTTACTAACAGATAAAAGGAGAAGTGTGTTTCTTTTACTGCCTTATTATCAACTATAAGATGGCTAGGAAAAACGTCTGTGGATACATTTCAAACCAACTTTTAAAAATGTGAAGGCAAAAGCTATCCGTACGGTTAGTGAAAACTTATTACCGGCTTAATTCAGTGGTGGAAAGAATACGTATTTTCTTAGTGAAAAAAATAACAACAGTTCTCGATTTTCTGTGAATACATAGAGACAATAATTTTGTGTTTTAGTAGTATTTTGGACAAGAGTGAAGATTAGATACGACAGACCTTGAACCGACCAATCACATCACTCGACGTTACAGACGAATGCTTTTGATAATCTTCGTTGTGAGTTTAGGTTAAGGTTAGGGTGAAACTTACAACGGTGATTATGGGCAGCATTCATCTGAAATACTGAACGATGTAACCATCATGATCAGGTGATAATCATCAGAAAGTCAATCATCCATCAGAATCAGTGGGTCCTGTAACTCGTACACAAATAGACTATCGATTATTTGCTATAGCCACTCCTATGGAAAACTGAGATCTCTTTGTGGCATACTGGGGATGCATTGTATATATATGTATATATGTATATATATATATATATATATATATATATATATATATATAGTGAGCATAATTTGATGTACTATAAATACCACTTTCTGCCAGCACAAGGGTACAAGGACACTTGACCGTGGTATCTATTCTTCACTGTTGCCATATTTTGAGCAAGATTGCTGTTTATCACTACATCACATCAATCGTTGGAATTCTGAATTCGGAATATTATCAAAGTTAACAAACATTTCGTTGTTTGTGGACAATTACTGCTAATTCATTCACCCGACAAGTTGGAAACTCGCCATGAGTATGAACATTCTTCAACGTTTTCTCGACAAAATCAAGCTTGATGGTAACAAATCAATAACTTAATAAAGAAAAAATATAAGATATAAATAATATGGACAACATCCTGAATGCATTGATGTATAACAGCGCTAACCAATAAAATTGGCAAATGAGGACATTCTTCCCTTGTTGCTTGTGACAAAAAAAATGTACAGTAAGTGCCGAATAATTTAAGTTTACTACAATGATCATCACGAAACAGAAGACGCTACACTTAAATCTTCATGAATTTTAACTGATAACACCAGGAATTAATCATCAAATCACTGATTCAATTCTTACATCATCAGCTTGATCAAAGAAGGCCAACTGGCGTATTCCTTTATTATCTGGTGGTAATTCAACACCGGATAGTAGAGTAAGTTGGAAAGTAAGAACTCCACGTGAGTTAAATCCTTGATTAATGAATATTGCTGGATAATTTCCTGTAGCTTGACCACTTTTTGTGTAGCTTGTAACTCCCATAGCAATATCAGGTTTACCATCCATGTTGACATCACCGACAGTCGGACCAACTAAAGAACTTGTAAGTAGAGCATTCGACTTTATTTGTGGAATTGATGTTAAAGACCATTTCAATTCACTGTCTTCCTTGGCATTTGAAGGTTGCCAGATTATGTCAATAGGGGACCACTAACATGTATGCATATGGAAAGGCAAAAAAGAACAACACTTCATAGGTTATTGAAGCGCATTTCAACAGTAACCTCAATACATAAAAATTAATACAACAGAGAGATGAAAATCAATAAATTTAAAGGCATTCTCCGTAACATATTACTACTAATATATTATAGAACTTATTTTTCTTATATAACTTGGAGAAAAGTGGCGTAATTTAAGTCTGAGTGACCGATTTGTTCAAGTTAATTTTGTATTACCTGCTGATTGATTATATTGGGCCGAAATGTTCATTATCTGTTAATTTCTCGGCTACTAGTATACGGATGCACTGATGATGCTATTTGGTGGACGATGACTAGCTATGAAATTCAGGATGTGAATTTCGTCCTAATTGGGACTCATCAGATGGATGTACTTGTAATCTACAGCGAGTGACAGTGGTCCCACTGAGACTCGAGCCCAAGGCCCACCGTTTCACACGACAAGGTGTTATCCGCTAAGTCAATTGGGTAACGACAGCCACCTCTTGTGCAATGAGTATCATCTATTTGTTCAAGTCAATCTCATTGATTGATTATATTGGACCGAAATGTACGGGCCTCTGTTGCTCTGTCTTCTCCACGGCTAGTCACACTAGTCAATAGCTTATCTTTGTCGTCATAAAATTATACTGCTACAAACAAAATTAACGGATGAAATAATAATAACAGTTTTCAAATAGCAACGCCACGATTCCTCAGAGAACCAGTAGGTTTTATTTTACAGAAATGAACATAGTTAAATTCCAGTAGAAGCGATAAATGCATTGTGTTTCCCTATTTCATCCCATATATACATACTCGTACACGGCTTATGAAAGCATTGCAGTTAAATATGCTATAAAGAAAAGCAGCATAAGACAACAGATGTTGTCGTTTTTTGGCGGAACCATAAATACGTGATAACAACTTGGGTTCAATCAAATTAGTGACTTTTGATATATATATATATATATATATAAACGAAATATATACCAATAAGAAGTAATATACACATTAAAATGTTAAACTAACTTTTTTATGTTTAAAGGAATACATATACATGTAACTAGAGTCCAAACATTTAGCATCTGTACACACAGGTAGCAGTAAATCAATTGATCCATCGTAGTCTGAAACGGATATACAGTAGAAAAGTACATGAGAAAGAGAAAGCTGTGAAGACAGAGTAATATATGCGATCAATTGGTTTGTGCAAATTCCATGGACTTCGATGTGAACTAGTAACACACTTAAAGCAATACTGGAAATCAGAGAGGATTGTCCCAATTTGAAACTCCTAGGTAGTCGGCATAAACAACCCTAAGCACGATTGGTCCCCGGATGGCAGCAGTGACAAATCAAAAATTTAAAAGTGTTTTGTGTGGGCAATTTCAATCAGATCCAGTTGGAAAGTGGTAATATTCTAAGTGAGGAACCTGAGAGAAATGACCTTAATTCTGTATAAATCTCTAAATGTACTATTCATAAGAATCCCAAACTAGAATGAGACAACTGTCGAACGCATAATTCTCTAGGCGATTTCAATCCACAAATGATGTATGCAAACTAAGCAATAAACATTAGTATAACCTATGAATGAGATTTTATCACAATGTCTGAGAAGGCTCTTCAAAAGGACTTTTAACACAGCTAAGTTATGCTGTTAATTCCTCACTAGTTAACCAATACTTAGTTCAAGAAATAAAGACAAACTGCCCTACTTCACCTTTTCCATTTCTATTTACCAGTTCAACTGCTTGTGCGGAGCTAACTACATTGGATATAGGATCTGGCAAGTTCATCATCGAATTTCTGAACACCTCTCATCTTGGCTTGGCAAAGGTTAGAATAAAGCTATATACACAGCTCAATACTAGCTCATCTCGTCGATATTGGACACCAAACAAAGCTTGAAAATTGTTTATAGTATTTCATCCAACCTCTCGCATGGTCTACGAGTACAACTTTTATATACAGCAGAGGCTGTCAGAATTCATCTGAACAAGCCGGATCTGTGTGTGTTCAAAAGAAATTTGTACAGCCTCCTTTTTTACCAGGGCCAACTACATAATATATATATATAAAGTTATTTAAAAACGATTTTTCCTTCTCCTTGTAATTATCTTTTGACCTTGTTATTTTATTGCTCACAAATCCAGCTAATTCTAATGACTTGTTTGTATCTTACGTAATCCCACTGAGTCATCTTATTCTTCTTAGTCATCACTGCTATTTTACAAATTTCTTGATTATGTAATAACTTGTAACTAACGCCTAGGAACTAATATAATAATAATGATAATAATAGTAATCATATATGTCCAAACCAAGTTCATGTTTAACAGTGAAAAAATTCGGACATTGGGTATGTGATATTCATTATAATAAAGGTTTTTTTGTATTTCCCAATGAATGGAAAATAAGACGATATTGCAGTAAAAACAATATCGTTTTGTTTTTTCATTCATTGGGGAATACAAAAAACCTTTATTATAATAATCACTTTATTCCAAACAATAATAATAGGATTTTCAGCGCTTTTATGCATACGCCAACAATTTAGCTCCTTTTGTAAATATGTATATACATAAAATTTAAAATAGTGGCAATAATTTAGACAAAGCAATAAGAAGACATAATCTGTCTGAATCGTGTAATGTATTTGCACAAGACATTTCGAACCATCTGATCACACACGGACTTGTCATTGGAATATATATAAAATTAGTTAAGAGGTAAGAAAATAAATTTAGGTCAAGTTAAAAGGACATAGTGAAGGTCAAAATAACAATGAAGATCACTTAACCAAATAACAGAGGTAATAGTAGTACATCTGCTATGGTATCAAAACAAAGTTTACCAAATAAGGTAGTTCGAGTGTTATGACGAATTGTAGCTTTGAACGCATAAAGGTGGTTTAAACTTTCTAATTGCTAGGGATTCCACAAACTTTAGAATACGCCCCAAACACATTTTACAGACAGGTTTAAAAGATATGTAATAATATTAATAATGAAACCACCGTAAATGCAATACTGATGGAAACATAATGAAGTATAAACAGATGGTACATTAGATAATACAAGTAATAATAATAATCTTTGCTTATTTTTTGCACTTCAGTTACTGATTTAAAAGTTTATCAGTTCTTTTCTGAAATTTGTTTTTTTTTTCAACAAAAAACCTGCGCTAAATATGGTATGGTAGAATTTTTATATTTATAACTTATCATGAATTCCGTAATTAATTAATTTTCACCCGTCCTTCAAAACTTAGATATCTTGTTACTAACAGAAGAATTAGTACGTCAATAGCCAGAGCCTATGCTGTAGCTAAGTTGGTTCCCGTCTTTCGGACAACATGTTCTTTTGTGCAGTCAAAAGTTGACAGATACCCTTCTCATGTTAACTCCAACTGTGTATACAAATTTACGTGTATCTGCGAGAGCAGTTACATTGGGAGAACAGAAAGAAGGGCCCACCTCCGATTTTCTGAACATGTGCTATTACCAGGCATCTCCTAGATCCGAGTCATGAGGTGGGAATCGTGAATTCCTTTAAAATTATCAATCGACAAAACAGCTCAATTCTCCCCAAGTTTACCGAAGCAATCTCTATCAAACCCTTGAAACCTGATTTAGGTGTTCAGAAAGAAGTAGTTATGAGTCTTTCCCTCCCCCCCCCCGGTAATTGGGTGTCTTCATTCTCTCTCCCTTTCATTTCATTACGTAATCTCTGGCTTTAACCTCAAACCCCTTTGATATAGTGTAATTCTGCTTGTCTCTTGTTTCTACGATTTGAATTGAACTCAGTACATTGTTACCCAATTTATTTGTTACTCATCATCTTACACACCTCTCATCTTTATTACGTAACTCCTTTACCGTTGTATGCATAAATTCATTCTGTTTAAACTTGAAGTCGCTGTGTAAAAACTATATAAGCCTTATGTTTTGAGCACTGTTCACTAAATTTGGAGCTTCCTGTCAACTGACATCATGTAAAATTTGCAAGTATGTTAAAACTTGTCTGTACATTAACTTAATAATAATTTAAGTAATTCTGTAAGCAGCTGTTGAGATGTCAGCGAAATAAATGATGGAACCATATTATTCTGCATAAACCACCGTTGTTCTTGCTTTATTCAAATAACATCTGTTAGTTAATGAATCGTTCTGATGACTTTTAACCCCTTAATTTCACCACCACCATCCCCAACCCCATCCTATAGCTAAAACTGATGGACTGAACTTGCCGCATGATTGGAACAATTTTGATGTGAAAAAAAAACAGCTAAGTATTAGTGTAGAGCCAATGATGAGGAACTAGCTGAAAAGGAATGCATATCTCTTCGCTCAATTTGTTGTTGTCTCTAAAATAAATTTGATCTACAAGCAACTTTATGATCTGTAATTATATTATATATATATATATAGTATTAAACTACAAAGTATGCTTTGACACTTCCGTTGTTTCACCGTCATTAGGAAAACTTACTGAAAACGGCATGCCTATTGCGCATCAATAACTAAAAAATAAACAACTAAAAAGCAGGAAACTCAGAAAATCCACAAACTAAGCTACACATATTTACAATCAAAGCGAATTTAGAATAGGTAAGTGTTGCAACAAAACACTCTCCTATCACTCAGCAGTCGATTACTCAATCAATTTAAACACCTGACTGTCAAGTGGGACTCTTTATGGTACCATAAGTACTTAAACAAAGATTGTGGCTCAAAGCTTAGTTAACAAACACGTATGGGATGTCTCATACATGCATATATATATATATATATATATATATATATATATATATATTATTGAAAACACGCAATCATACTTACCGAAGTCATTCAAAACAAACAGGCCTAAAACAGACCGTGGTGAGCTCAACAATTTAGGATCAAGTTCAATCAGTTCAGCATTAGACACATCAGGTAATGCACCGACAGATGACAGGCTTCGGATTATAACTTGTAGCTGTTGTGTATTTCCATCATCCACAAGAATAACAAAATCTAGAGAAAAATAAATTGAATCAAACCAAAAGATTTAAAATATCTCCATGCTCAACAACAAAGGTATATGAATATTTTGCATATTTAATATGAAGACCGTTTTGACAGGAACCAGCCAAATAAAATGACACATTATTCGGCTTAATTTATTCCTGCTTTGTTTAATTCCACTAAAGGGGAGAATTGAATGGATTTTCTCAAATATTTATTTACTCCAGGTTAACTGAAAACCACTTAGCCGGCATTGATATACGAATAGAACTTGTGCACTGTGGTAGAGTATAATACCATTATGGAGGAAATTTTATTTTGAAAAGGTCTCACAGTGTTCTACAGTGATATTTACTGATGACGTTTTGAGGACAGTTTACTACTACTCATAATCACATCAAGGTACTCAGACAACTTTCTAACTTCGTTTACATACATGAGTAACGAATTGATTTGACATATGAATCAATATTAAGTCCAATAGACATGCGTGAAGCAGAAAGGAAGATAAAGTACATTCGGAAATAATATTACTGTTGTCAATAAAATATAGTACGATGAGAAATAAGACGAGTGTTGTTAGTCTGTAAGATGGGTAATAAGATGTTTTGTCAGTAAAATAAAATAAATAACATGCTACAGTGTGGTAACGTGAAGTGAAATAAAACAAATTTTAACACTATTTATTATTTTTTGATTTTACTGGTAGTGGTATCTTCCATTTCTTTCGTATTTGTACTGAGTCATTCCTATTGTATGTGTTGGGTGTAGATTCTATGAACAAAGATTCAGTAATCTAACCACCCAATTACGTGGTTGTACGTTATTGCATGAAGTGCAATTGCTGAGTTTTTTTTCTAAATTACTTACCTTCCTGGGGTCAGTCATTCTGCATTTAGCTAAATTCTTATGTTCTAATAATTTGACTACCCCTGATCAACTAGTTTGGCCTAAATTTATTATGGTCGAAGGTAACACTGATATCATTCTAGAAAACAACAATTCAACATGTACAACAGACAGATAAACGAACAGTGAAAATTTAAAAAAAAGACAGAAAAATATTGAAACATGTAAAAGTAGGAAAGGATGAATAAAAGTTAAAAAGCCAATAAAAAAAATCAGCAGATAACAGAAAAGGTTATTACTTTTAAACTTGTACATCTTCAATGACTAGTCGGTTGTCCCATAACCAAAACGGCTCCACATACATACAGACAGTGAATTTATGAACTGATGTCACGTCTTGGTTTGTTCGACCTTAGCGATTCGGATAAAACTCTATAATGCAGGAAGCGTTAAACATCTCCTACTAACCACAGACTCACAAAGCTATCCACTAACAACACCAGAACAGAAATCGACACTTTGGTATACAACCTCGTAACAGAATAATCTTATATGATTTAACACAGTATTATTTATTTGCTGATGATAACGTTCCGAGTACAATTTATTGCTATTAATCATACCGAAGTGCTCACATACATACCCTTCAATTTTAAAATGGCAATAACATTTTTCTAATCTCCGCTATTGGTGTTGCATCATTCCTGATATGCGCTGGTGGCATAGGGGTAGAACACAGGCCAGTCACTCAAATGGTCCGGGGTTCGATCGCCAGTCGACGCATACCTTTGCCTCGCTAAGCCGGTAATAAGCCTTGTAAAGAGGGAAGGTTGGGTGTGAGGCTAGTAACTCCATACCGTAGAAATAAAACCACTGCTACTGAAGCTCCAAAGCTCTAGCTTGAAGCCCTATGTTCCAGTGGGAACGCGAAGGAATAGAAAAATTATATCGGCTAGCTTATGTTCTCATTATTTTTGTACCGAATGGAAAAAAAATAACACCCAAGATGTGAAGTGAAATTTATTGTACAATTGTCAATTTCACACCACCGGCATCTGTCGTCAAAGGCGAACTTTACCATGAATAACTATTAGTCTGAAAGATCGCATTATAACTGAAGGCTCATGTATCAGAGATAATAAAATTCGGTTTTCACATTGATATACCGAGGACATCTTCCCTATACAGCCCATCTTAACAACAGTGATATTGAATTTTATTTTTTTTTAAACAACTTGAAAATGTACAACAATACACACACGCCCAAAATCTTGTAAACACATATTACTCAAGTTAAACACCTACACTACGCTTCACAATCAGAAAATTTGGCCAAACATACTAATGTAGATTATATGCGGGCTTCTAGTAGGTAGTAACTATCTAGCTATGCAGTTGGTCAGACAAGTTTATCAATGTTAATCATTTCTAACTGTGTCACCCAACTGGGATAACTATAATTTTAGAAGTAGGTATAGAAATCCACACATGCAAACATTTTTTTCTCTTCTGAAACTAACCATTGAGAAAACCAATACGTGAGAATTCATTCATTGACTCAAGATGAAAATTTTCAAGTACACAAAATTATATGACAATGTGATTCAACTACCACCTACCAGGGATATCATCTCCGTTAACATCCCCAAAGGCTGAATAACCAAGTCGTGACCATGATGGACCAGCGTATGGGGCAGACAGTTTCTTCAATTCACCCCTATGAAGAAATATTCTTTTGTTTTATAAACTGAGTAAGTATATTACAAGAAATGTTAAAACTGAATTAGCTAATCAAATTATTACTTATTATTATATTTATTAAAAGTTCATCAATTAACAAATAGGCAAAAGTATGCTATGAAAATTTCTTATTTGTTTGCCAGCTATAGACTTTTTTCTAGCTACAAACTAACAAATTAATTAAAATGAAAAACATAAAATCTAGTAGGCGAAAAAGCTGTCTTTGATCATAGGTCTCTGCCTTCTATCTCCCGTATTGAGTGGTATGATAGGTTAGGGAGAAATATTGAGATGAGGATTCAGTCGAGTGATAGGTAAACAGGGAAAGTCATTCGATTAGATTGTGAAGCCACATCGATTGAGATGGTTAGGACATGTGTTACGCATTCATTTTTAGCCATCAATTGCCTTCGTTGACGGGGAATGTTAGCTGGCATTAGATCAAGGAAAATAACCAGTAGTGGTCAGACCAAAACACGGCCTCGTCAGTCAGTCAAATTCATAAAAGTTAGTTTAAGCCAGCCAGCCAACCAGCCACGTAAGGACGTGTACATTTCTTGGCTGGTTGGGGTCCTCAGGATGCTGAGAAGCAATGATGGCTGGAGACAGTTGATGATATGGCTAAAAAATCTTTCTCAATGCGTAGTGCAGATGCATTCACTCCTTATGACTTATAATATCCAATAAAACTACTGTCCTTCCATATTACTATTCTTTTTGCCTCATGCTTCCGTTTACCATCTCTCCTTTGAATCTCTACTCTCTTCTCTTACTTTGTGTGCTACATGGAGGAAGTGTGGCAACTCGAACTGCTGCACATCTGTGCAAAGTGCTATGTTGGAACCAGTCAGTTCGATGTCGTTCGTGGTTATTCTTATTTAGTTTAATGAGAATTATTGTTATCAATGGCTTCTAATCATTAATATGAGTGTTTGGGGGCTCTGCAATTAAAAGCTAACAGTACCCTCTTTATACAGAAGTACCAATATTTAAGTTTATACTATACCATTGTGATAGTGTGGTGCTGATTAATCATTTGACATTCAATCTTTGGAATGAGCAATCAAATCTACCTCGACATACTTTAGAATGGGTAAACAGCTAGTATCTTAGGCCTGTATATGTTAAATGTTTGACCCACTGCCGGGTACATAAAATACTGCAATGTGTAAAATAGTGACACTATTATCATACACCATATTATGAGTTTTTTATATGGCGCTATTTCTGCATTGGATAAGTACAAAGCTGTTGTAGTAATATAATCGGTAAATAGGATTAAAGTATTAGCCTAACTTGAATTTAGGAAATGAAATGCCTATACTAACTGTCGGGGATTTCATTGATTGATGCCATTTTTTCACCTGACCACCACTAGCTCTTTTCGGACCTAATCCATCCTATGCCAGTTAACATTAACCGTCGACGTAGGCGTTGGATGGCTAGGAATGTGTGCGTAACACATGTCCTAACCATCTCAATCGATGACTTTCCCTTCTTACTTAACACTCGACGCCTAATCTCAACATTACTCACCCTATTATGCCATGTAACACGGGAGATAGAACGCAGATACCTATGATTACAGACAGCTAGCCTTTTCATATCTTCCACTCTCAATCGCCATGTTTCGCAACCAGCCATATAGGAGGACGGAGTGGACTGCTAGGAAGTACACGCGCCATTTGGTCGACAGTCAGCCGGATATCATGTCTTCACCAGAGATGGTAAACTGGCGTTTACGAAACCAGCCTTCTCTATTCCTGCCGAGATTTCGTCAGCGTCCAGCCTGTTGGTGTTAGCTGATGTCTCTCCACAAATAAGTAAAGTGGTCAAAACACTCCACTGCCTCACACCTGTCTATCTTCAAGCTTGGTGTCAATGTAGTCCAGTCCAGCAGCAAGATCTTACATTTGACGGGAGCCAATCACATGCCAAACATTCGAAGATCGCTAATCAAGGTGTTTACAAGACTCTGCATTTTGTCAGCGTCTTTACCTAAGAGAGAGGACTATATCATCTGCATATTCTGAGTCAACGAGATTATACTCTGGTAACAAGTCGATCCCTGAGTCGCTGAAGTCAGTCAGAGTTAAGTCGATTAGTAAATCTATGATGAAATTAAACAGAAATGGCGACATCAAAACACAAGGACATACCCGCCAAAATAAACCACTCTTTCGCCTTTTGGTGTTTCACCATATAAATCTGCGATCATATCCGAGTTTACATCACATACCAATGGTTGAGAGGCAAAAGTGTCCACGAGTTGAGGTGAACCTATATAAACAAATATTACATATCAGATATAATTCATCACTGATTCTAAAAAAATATGAAAATAATCTCAAAAATCTTAGTTAATATTAAACTTCGGAAATGGGGAATGTAATTTATTCACTTAGGGATTCAACTTCCTGGTAGTGAAAAGTAAATTCACACTCCACCTTACGCATTTTGACTAGAGAGGTCAGTAAAAAAAAACAGGCCTTTGTAAGGTATTTTATTATTAATTCAAATATCATTTTTCCTGTTGATTGACTGAACCGAAATGTTCGGCTTCTGTTGACATGTTGGCTCCTTGTAAGGATGCTTCGACGATGTCTGACGATTAACTTGTTCTGTATGTTTGTTAAAAGCTTTGCAGAGTGAAAATACTGAACTGAAGTACAGATGAATACGGATTACAAATTTATTAAAAATATCAGCAAAAAGTTCAACAGTCATGAGTAAATATAGATGATCGGCAGATTGAGTACATTCAGAAATGTTAACATTTTGTATCGCCTCAGCTATGCCAAGATGTCTTGACCTCATTCGCATAGAGAGATTGGATCAGATCTTGTATAAGACTGAAGGATATTTCAAAAGAAGTAGAGTGAAGAAAAAATTTCCATTTCGACAAAGTCATTAGATAGGCTGTACATTCGTAAATATCTGTATTTCTTCACATTCAGATAAAGACTACCTGAGGTTTAGTGGGTTCATTCGACGAAGCACACGTCACGTTGTTGAGGATATCTTTGTGCGGGTTAGCGTCTGTGAAGAGTTTCCAGTTTCCATTGATTTCACTGAGATCCTATACCTCGACCTACGATGAGTTTTCCTATTGTGTTGTCTGCTCACAGTTTGGCTTGCACTTACATTAACCACTAAAACTTTTATATCACAATCTCACTGGGGCGTCTTGTACATTACTGCTTACAGTTGTCTGCATAAATCCTTATTCATCACCGGATCTGCGTTGTTTGTACATACGTTATGTAATAGTAACTTCCCTACCTTTTCGGTTGAATCTTTTTGTCATAATCCTGGCGGAGAATGGTTTCCTATTATACAACGGTGCCTCGAATGATGTCGGTGACATACTGACAGTTACAGCATCAGATTGCTTAGGGTTACCGTCCGGGTGACCGGAGTAGATTATTGACTCGCCAGTTAATAAACTGGAGAGTCCTCTTCCATCCCATATGCTCCCATAAATTCGTAATACTTTTATACCATATATTGGCATTTCTTTTACAATCTAAATAGCCTTTCAAGCCAACCTAAAAAATGGTGCTTTTGCTTTCACTCAAAATAGACACATGCCCTAACTGGCTACCCGAACTCTTGCACCCAATGACGTCATCCTTCCTTGAATTGAGGAATCTTTCCTATTCTAGCAGAAAATAAGCTTATTCCTCCTGTGCTCTGAAGTTTCATGGCAATGGAGTGAGATTGTTTGTCTCATGCCCAGCTTTCCCTTATTTCCAGGCTGGATAGCAGACCAAGCAATTTACTACTATTAGTATTTTCTCATTAATTATCAACGGGAGTTTAAATAGTAATTATCAACTTTCGATTCCCCATATTTGTTGTTTATGACATGCAAAAAGTGCACTGAATACTGGTAACTTTCAAAACTTTGTTTAAGAACTGCCGTTTAGTAATATACAATATTAGCCAATCTAAACTCATCTACAAAATTCGAAAGTATATCTGTGGCTCAATGAAATATAATACACACAGAATCACGGATTTAAAACCACAAAATCTATTTTTAAAAGCTCTGTAAAGCAATAAAATTGCTTAAAATGGACATTTTTAGTGGCAACTGACAACAGGAATAAAATTAATTCATAATGCTCTTAATAAGTTATTAACTTACCGAATTTCCCACGATTTTCACCTTTTAAACCATAAGCAATATAAGTATCGAAAGGGCCAGTGACAGAATCAGAAGTAATCAATAACAGATCAACTCGAGAATCTCCGTCAAAATCAGCAGTGGCGACACTTCGAATAGTCTTCGGTAAGACGTTACCCATTATTTCAACAGGTGGAGCAAAATTAATACTATTTTGTGTTGTTGAAGCAAATTGAAAGCCTTTAGCGCTTGGTTGGATAACAGCGAATAACTTTGTACCATCATTATTGGCAAATATAATATCCATTCGACGATCAGCATTCAAGTCTGTAAATGCAGCTAGTTGGAAGTCAGGCCATGCATTTATCTGCTGGAATGAACCTACTGGATTATTCGTTATAGCAATATTCTTATCAGCATTCACCAAACTGAACAACAGTAATACACAGAGGCCGTTGAAAAACAGTTGAGGAGTACGACTAAATCTCGTCGTCATATAAGGCAAGATACGTTGTTTCATGCTCAAAATTTTAATGAATCTAAAATAAAATTAATAAAGGTATGCTGAATCGATGTATGAGGTAATAACATTCAAATTTATTTACCAATCCAATCATACGAAAAATGCATTGAAAAGCCAAAGCATTTCAGTTGTTGAGTGAGCTCCCCTAACTATACTCACGGGTATAAACGTTTCACTTGAAAAATACAGTTAATCTTTGCTACTCTCATTCGCCTGAGGCATCGAGACGCTCAAATACAGTCACCTTAGCAGGTGATTTTAATGCTCCAATAGAGATGAGCCAGTCTAAAAATTACATTAGGGGGGTGTCTATGTAGTCTTATGCCGATGAACCAACAACAGTAACCAACTTTAATAATTCTGTTCAGGTAATTATCTGTTACTGTTCAGCATTAATTTCAAACATACTGCCTCACTTGATGACAGCAGACATCAAGCCAACGATGGATACAAATAGATCATTTAGCTATATATTATCGAAGGAGAAGGTCTATAAGAAGATCGCCGTTACTTTTGAAACAGCTGCATGGAATCCGATTATGGACTAGTCCATGCACGTGTATGCTTACAAATGGATGGACGTCAAAAACAAAGTGCTGAGAATCTCTTATGTGTCTGTCTACTCAATAAGAACATGAAGTTTCTATTTAAGACAGAGATAAGTAAACCATATCTGAGTATGACGTTAATGCTTATCCCTAGGTAGCCTGATATCATACCAATCCTCTGTACAACCTTCGAAGATGACTAAGTCAGTGAACAAGATTTTCTTCGTCGAATTGTCCTTTACTCTCTGTACAAACATTGGTAAAGACTGGTGATAAATTGCAATCTTATCTTTATGATATTCTTAACATCCTACCTGTTTCAAACTGAGTTGTTTGTAAGAGAATATGATGAAGAGATTTTTACTTACTTCATTTTAGTCAAATAAATCTCATGAGGGCTTGTTTTCCGACTGAAGACTCTAGTCAAAGTAGGTGAGGTAGAGTGAGAATTCACTTTTCCCTACTGGGATGCCTAACCCAGCAAATTACATTCCCCGCTTTAAGCGTTTAATATTTACTAAATACTTATGATAATTTTCTTATTGCTTTCATCAGCTGCGAAAGGCAGTTCAATTAGGGTAGACTGCAGCCATCCCTTAATTTTATGTAGAAATCGGGTTCTACAGCTGTAGCTGAGGTCGCTAACCTGTGTAATCTAAATCAAAGTAATGCAGTGGGGCTTAAAGACATGACTCTAGAGGTTTTTGAGGGTTATCATGCATTATTAAAGTTTGCTGTGGGATTCCGAAATTGTTCCAACAGACTCGTAAGAATAGTAGAAAACGAATCTCCCGGTGATATTCACGCGAAAATAGGTTTGATTAACATAGTATTTGAGATTGTAAGTTCCACAGTTCTGGGAGGACTAAGTGGGGCTCGATAAAAAGACCAGATGAAAGCAGACTGGATGGCGTATGTTCGGCTTGCAGTTTGTCCCTGTCAAGAGTAAAGTAGTGCTGCAGGACTGGTCTACATAGACTCCAAATTTACGGGCAAAGGGTGAAACGGTTGAATATAAGAATCACTTTCATTATTTGGAATGTTGTATTAGGTAGGATGAGCTGATTGCTGATGGAACTCCTGCATGGATACAAAAGGCGCTTGTGTCACTGGCTAACTTGCGCCATTTTTGACGCAGGCGTGATATCAGGCTACCAGACAACAAAGATATATACTAAGCGGCACCACCTTCATTCTACTTTATGGCTGTAGGACGTGGCCATTGAGAGAAGATATGAAAGGGCAAAACACCGTTGACTATAGGCTTCTGTGTTCAGTCGCTCATGTTAGATGGTATAATCTAGTCCCTAATAATGAGTAGGGAAATTCAATCGATGAAGTTGTGAAGCAGCACCCATTGGGATGGCTAAGGCACATGTTAGGAGATGCAAACCACGCCCTTCTTCTTCAAGTGATGTTAGATGAAACAGGTATAGGTTGGATGGGACTTTGGGGTGTTCGAAGCAAAACATGACACCAATCGACTGCGCGTTTTAGTCATGTACGGAAGAGTAGATAGTCTGGCTGGGATCATCTGGATGCTAAACGTCAACGGTTGTAGACAGATGATAACATGTCTCAAAATCAGTGTGTGTGTGAAGGGAAATACCATCTCATTTGTCCGACATACCAGTGCACTATATAATGGTAAATACCTCTTAACTAACTGTATAACGACACTTATCAGTACAGTCACCCTTTCCGGGAAAGATATCATGAGAAAAAACTTAGTAATACAATATTCAGATTAAAAAATGACAGAGAGACAAATATATCATAAGTCAATCATTCACTGTGATATCATACAGACGTAAATCAAAACACAAGTTGCTTTCAGAACAACTTAATTCCATTTTATAAAATTACTTTATTTGTTAAGATCAATTATCACAAAATCTTATTATATTATTGAAAAAAAACGAGATCTATATTAGTATATTATTATAACTCCAGATAAGATAGAAGAAGAAGAAGACGAAGCTATCATATACACAACACTGCAAATATACAAAATAGCACCGATGAGAATATCTTACTAGATACCATTAAAAGATGACTCTTTTTGAAAAAAAAAGACAAACCATCTAAAACAATTCACAGCAGGACGGACATAGCAATTTGAAAGGGATGACAATATCACAATCAGCATTACTATTGCAGTTTATCAAATAACAGCACTCTTATTCTTTTAAAGTTCTCGATAATACATAACTGATAACAATCACAAGGAAACTGACAGAAAATACAGTTCTCCGATGTTCCATTAATCCACACAGCACTAGTTCAGTTGTCGACTTTTTCGAAATTTGACGAATAGGAGTAGGTAGTTTATTTAAAGTTTTTTGTTCACGATACTTAATAATTCGTTTGTTACCCCGTTCATTCAACTCAGCTGGACCCAGATCAATGTAAATCTTCAAAGCTTCATGAATAAGATCTTCTACTGGATGGATTTTAGGCAGGCGTGCAAGTGTCTGGTAGAGTAGAGCGAAATCTAATGGAGTCGCTTCAACTTCTTTAGCACTAATGGCAATTATCTAAAAGTTAAGTATAATACAAAAACTGTGGAAGAAATTATTATAAGTAGAAGAAAGAGGATATCTCGAAAAGAAATTAAGTCAACAACACTGGACTAACAAAAAATCCATCGATACACACTGCCTCATCTGAACAAGTAATAAAAAAATTAAGTGAATATGTAAAACGATACTGTTAGTGGAACTGTATGAGTAGTAGTTACTATTTTTTTTCTAGCTATACAGGAGTCTACCATACACTAATACGGAACATACAACAAATTACATTTCATGGGTCAACTGAACTTAAACTTTAAAAAAAACCAATTCAATTGTACACAATCAATCAGTGAGGAATACAGTCAGTTTGAATTTCCACTAATTTATTATCTTCCCTTTAAAAATCATATTTAAACATTTTTTTCAACAAAAGATAATGTGATAAAAAAAAATCACCTAAGATAATGCTCCTTTATACATCTAAAACTTTAACGTTCGTATTCCAGAAAGTAAATTTCTCATCCACTTTCATACACAGCTCCACATGCACTTTGAAGAAGAAAATTTAATATAGTATCATAATGCCACGCGAGTGCGGAATATCTCAATCATAAGACTTACAGATGGTGATTAATTCACCACAAATACAAATCCATCCATACTATAAACACGTATTGAAGTTGTCGAAAGGAACTGGGCCGCTGTTGTATAGCAACACAATAGACGTTCAGTGAACAAATGGATATTTCATTAGAATATAGAGATTGGAGAGATTTCGAGACATTCGAAATTTGGTCAGCCACAAACACCAGGTGGCCCAAGGTTTCTAGGACAACCAACCATTTTATTTTTTTATTTGTTGAGCTGAATACCTGAACACATATAAGATGTTGCATGGAACGCCTAAAAGGCTCTACGTCTAATATTCATCTTCACCTGACAACCCTATTTCAAATGAATACTTCAACCCAGGATTTCAAGAAATTTATCGATTGATTTGATTTCTGTGTGGTTGACATAAAAAAGACTTTTCCTTTATATATTGACGATTACAATAATTAGTGCATTGTAACAGTAATACTTCGAGCGTCGGTGGTGTACCGGTAGAATGCTCGCCGAAGTTCGATCCCCGGCCGACGCCCTCCTTTACCTGGCTAAGCCAGTAACAGACCGGTAAAGAGGGAAGGTTGGGCATGAGGCTTGCAACCTCATCGTGTAAAAATAAACACCACTGCTACCTAAACTTTAAAGCTATAGCCTGAATCCTTATTTTCCACTGGGAACGTAAACGAATAAAAAGAACAGTAATACTTCAGCTAAATTCTGAGTCAGCTTAACTAGTAATCATAAATGCCTTTAGTACTGGTTCATTAACATCTACTGTCCATCTTCGTTTCATGTTAATTTTAAATACCAGGAATTAAAACAGCTGGAAAGTTTCAATCAGTACCTTATTTACAGATAAAAAGCAACTACAGACTATATATATAAACTCCAACTTACAGCGACGGAAACGTAAACCAACATGATAGGGTCTGTAGCCAGAAACAAATCAAACAAACGTCTAACGTCATCCATATTTGGTAAGACATGTGCAAACCAGGTGATGATCCAGGCAATGGCGAAATCTGGTCCCAATTCAACAGATTCAATACTTTTTAATATGGGAGTTGATACACATTCTAACAAGGCGAAAATCAATTGCATATACTCCAGGGTAACGTCCATAGTTTTCTGCATAAATAAACTATATAAAAGGATATTTAAAAAATATTTCGAATGAACGAAAAGCGACTGAATTTACTTAGGCTACAACTTAAAAAATTACACAGACAGACACTTGAAGACATTTTTAAAGACTGTAGAAATATTTTTAAGATATAGCCGAAATAAACCTTAATATGAAAGCTGTCATACACTCTAATATCACTAATAGAAATTAGCATAGTACTAACAAGATAAATACCCTGGTTACCATTCTTCTGTAATCGCACTAATTCTACAGATGGAACTTTTCATTTTGTCTTAATGGGTAGAAATAAGGTTAGTGTGTGAAGTCAAACTAGTAAACGTGAGAAAGACACATTTTCAAAATTGCACTAATCATCTCACCTACAGTAGATACTTGTTGGGTTGAACAGTTTGGTGAATTTAATTTAGCTCAATTTCCCTAATTGCCCATCTGGTGTACTTGCTTGTCAATCTCATTCACAGCCAAATGTTACTATAAATCCTGATAAACACGCTCAAATACTTAAATGAACGGTTTGTGTAAGGCCTAATAAACTTCATGATGGGAGTTTAAGTGGTTCACAGTTTTATATAACTGTACGAATTTTCCATTTATGGTAGTAACAAACACTTTACAAAAGGTAAGAGTTTGGCAGAAAAGTAACACTAACGTACACCATGGAAAATATACACAATGGGTTCAAAATGTATTTCATTGGCTTAGATGTATAGGTGCAAGTCCCATTCCACCTACTCAAATTTGGTCGACTTAGACGGGTAGCTCATAGACTCTCCTAAATAACTGAGTTATAACTAACGAGATTTAAAGAAGTATGAAAATTCACTGTGACCATAACAACATAATAGATTTCAAACTCCATACACTGGGGTTTAGACATTTCACAAATTATAGCTAAAGAAGTTTACACTTTGACAAGCACTGGTGACAAACAACCAATCATATGATTGTGGTTTGAGTCTAGTTGATCGGACCATCTTATCGTTTTGGTGGTAAGGTCTGCCCTTTTGCTTTATCTTCTACACATGCCCATAAATAAGGTGCTGTATAAGTTGCAGTTTTTGAGGCACAAAACAAAACCCATCTTATCTTGCTATTATGCTTAACCTATGGTTCAGGCAATAGCAATTGCATACGAACAGCAAATCCAGTCTCTTAAAATATTCTCAGAAGTCTAAATTAAGAGAAGACAAAACAGCAGAAATGTGGAAAAATTCTTCGGTTAGTAATATAAAATCTTATGGTGAAAAAAGTGGGAATATATTTCTTAAATGAGCAAGCTTCCTTACAATTAAAGATGATACAGAAAAAGCTAATCCTATCGGGATTGCTAGTGTTATTATCATCCTCTGGCAGTTTGGTATCTTATTTTACGATGAGGTTTTAATATCAACCTTTTTATCACTTGAATTCTCTTCTCTAATATTATCATATGCAACAAAGCAACTACTACAAATTAAATTTGATATAAACAATAAAAACAGAGCAAAAATCAATGAATACATGCATAAGAAAATCTGTCTGCCTACACGATCAATCTCTTTTTAAAAAAAATATATTCACCTGAAATGAGTCGGGACAAGTTTATTAAGCAGTATGCGAGATTCTTTTTCACCGAGAACAGAAAAAAATATGTAACATATATCATGGAAGCCCTTTGAAATAAATTTAAAGTGAGAAAAATGATAAGCAACTGCAAACAATTTAAGTTAACAAGAACATATAAAAATCCAATGAGTATATTTAACAATCATGTACAAATGCATGCACCAGTGTACCACACTTACTGTTCGAAGTTCAGTGACTCTGTGGGAATGTTAATTTCATTTCCAACATTAAACTTGTTCTATGAAATTAGACTGTACAGCAGAATATGCTAGAAATTCAAAGTCTCCCTCAGTTACGACTTTAAACATGAAAATATTCGGAATACGAACAACCCACCTATTCAAGCAACCTCGCCTAAAATCTTTAAAGAACACTAGTCACAAGGAAAATAAACTAAAAACATGCTTAATTGGGTGAACTACATTTGGTCACTACTTTTCGGCAGAAACAAAAGTGGTCGACCTGTGGTAGTGATCGTTAAATATGTAACGGAACCCTAAGGCCTGAATCCACACTGGGGGAATCCACATAAAGCTGGTCTTGATCCTGCTATACACACCTCCATAGAAAAACTGGAAATCAATCACGTGATAGATAACCTTAAAGTTGAATTTCTCAGTCAACGAAATAAAATTCATCGGCACATTCTAAAAGTATTATGAATGGAAAATTAGTTCAATTCTTAATAAGTCAAATCAGATTCAGGTGCCGGTCATTATGCATTTTACGGTCATTTATAAATGGCCACACACGATACATAGAAAAATAAACCTGGCTAATGAATCACACAATAACTTTGCAGAGACTTGCAACAGCTCAAGTTGCCACACTTCGAAAAAGCACACAAAAGAAAACAGAAATGTAATTATACTACAACCAAAATCGGTATGTAGAAGGATAATTCAATAAAACAAAGTGATGACTTTTGGGGGTCAATAGCTTGTATCCTAGTGAACGGCAACCCCCAATGATTAAAGTGTTTGAGGAACCTCAGTCGAGAAGCCCTTATCTACGCATGAGCCTCGGACCAACATCAAGTGGACCGGTACTATGCGTCAATGGGACCACCTTCAACTCTTTTAAAACAAACATATTTCAGCTAACATCTGTTGCTGAGAAACCTAGTAGCTCAACAAGTATAACAGATGATCTAGTCAATAAAGATGTTAACTAACAACCAATCATGACGTTCGTTGTGAGGAGATACAACTATATCATTCACGGAGAACAAATAAACAAATTCATGTTATATTAAAGCTTATGCTGAAGATGTCTCGAAGGACAATGAAAGCTCCTCAATTAAATTAACCAGCTCAGAGAATACCACCAAATCAAAATCATCCATCTAAGCTACAAATCTTCTCTGTTATTTCAAAATGATCCAATCACCACGATCAGTGAAGACTTACCTTCCCGACACGCTAATCTACATTGAATCTGAACATTACTAAATATTTTGTCCCACCTAACGCCAGCTATCGAGTATAGACACCGATCATCACAGACATGTACCTCTTACATTTCATTACAGCAGCGTACCACAGTCCAAAAGCACAACTTAGCGAACACCTGAGTAATAAAAAATATCCTTTAATGGGTAGCCTTTTGTCTTTGGTTTGTGCCAAACAGTGCCTCTATATTCATACGACGATCAGTTTGTTAGGGGTGATTCAAATCACCGAAATGAGTGAATTAGTATTTCGTTTCCGTGCTTTACTTTTTCTCTACATGACTACGAACCGTAAGATCTTAGATACAATATTAAATATACTAAATGTCTTGTGGTTGTAAACTAAAACGACGAATGATGCATACCTGTTTATTACAACTATCTTGGTTTTCCATAAATTTATTACTCTTATAAGATAACAGGATAACGGTTTGCACTTTTAAGCACTTGACAAAGAACAACACTTATTTTGTGAGGATTGGCTATATTACCTAGTTCGTATTGTAAGGTGAGGCAGAGTTGCAACCTATAACCTAAATTAATGAGCCATGGTTCCATACATAGCCAACATGTTTCTTAAACGCTTCAGAAGTCAAAGTCATACCCTGACTTTTACCTCGTTTTAGATTGGAGACAACATTTTCAACAAAGACTAAAGTTGAGGCAAAAAATGATCACCTTCCAACTATCCCAAAGTTAGATGACAGCTAACTCTGACACAAATAGAGCTCGGATAAGCTGCTCTCAGAATTACTCCACTCGACATTCCAGTAATCTCCATCTATTATAGTAGTACAACTCTTCTCGCAGATCATCCCAGTTGTTATGCATATACTAAGGTTCATTTTCTAAGTAAATCTAAGTAGCTGATGGTTATTACCTTGTACTGACGCCTTTTTCAAATTTTTCGCTTCCCTAATCCACCGCTTTCTGAGCTCGCCAAAAAGCGTTCAGTCAGCTTATGTCTAAAGTAACTGATCAACTCGAGTGATACTACTTATTAATCTATGATTATAAGGTTAAAAGATGTCTGTTGCTCCTACTAAAGACTAAATATGGTATCAATCTACTTCATGGTAATTGTCACCGTCATACATATACACGTCCAGGCGGTCCCTCTCCGAATACGATCACGACGTTTCCACCTAGAAGCTGGACGCTGATTAAGTGTCTTTTTGGTTTGTATGTCTATTGTTGCGGCCTGTGAGCTCAAAAATGCCTTTTATGTTGAAAGTAACTGTTAGTTGTGAACAAGCAACTACTTGAATACAATTGTGCGTTAGCCAGCAGTATAAACCCTCAAATGAATCAGCTCTTTTCTATGACATTAAAACCATCTCTTGATAGGGCTAATTGTTAATTTTTTTCTGACTTCTGGGCAGAAAGCAAACAACGAGAGTAATCACAGTACCCTCTCAGAGGAAAGCTGTCTCGATTTGGGTCCTAAAAGACACCATCATAGATTCGATGCTATTCTTACCATAAATTAAACTTACATAAAATCTTAAACTCACCTTCAATTATATTTGCTGATCCCAAGATTCTATAGACAATATATCATTATTAAAACGCAATTACCGACTAACTAATCATACACGTTACCCCCAACAAAGTTAGATAAGTTAACCGAATAATATAACCACTGGTGTTCAGGTATTAAATCCAGAAAAAGTATAGTAATGCATCTAGGTTCGACATCTCACTCGCAGCACTACATTGGAAGAATACAACTGCCTAGTTACGGCCAAAACACCACTGAATCATGCGAGAGGTGAAGCAGCTCTCGGACTTGAGTGCGTCCCTAAGCACACCCTCCATGCATCCTACTAAACTTATGTTTTCATAGGGTATACAGGTGCCAAATCCATGCCTCAAGGTGGCACTAGGCTAGTTACAAGTATCTCGCACCTTTCTTATAAGGGGATGGAAACTCACCCCTTTTCATCATACTGTAGGAGGAGGGAAGACCTCTATTTCAGTTTTTTGGAAATGAAACAGTATCCTGAGTACTGATCTCTACAAACATTTTCACCTTCCAGGATACTTCTGAGGGGCCATTATAAAAAATATGCCAAAACAGCGTTCGAACAAGATAGGAATAGGAACCAAATACACGCAAATGATCGTCAACAACTAAGTGGTATCACCTCCTCCAGTGAAAAGTCCACGAAGGTATATATATATATATATATATATATATACGTTAAGCTGACCCAATATCCTTTAACACAAAAGATTGAAGTCTACAAGTTTGCAGCGAGAAGTATTGCAGATGCTTGCATTCCCACCAACAAAGACATGTTTCCAGAAAGTATTTGGCAAATAATCATTTGCTGTTAGATGTCATCATGATTGTAATTTAAGTATTTGTTTCTATAGGAAGAATGCACTCATGCGTCGCTTGAAACAACACGATAGGGAATGGGACTTTAACCATGAATATACACATAAGTTATAACAAATAAAACATGACTAGTCTTATCTGGCAAAAAACCAAACTTACCTGGTAGTAATGCAAGGATGGGTTATCGATCAATACAGATATAACAAGATGAGTGACAATTCTCTTCCTAGTCTCAATTTCTTCTGGACTTAAATCCTTGGGCATTAAGTTTGTCATTCGAAAAGTGTCTAATTCAACCTGGCGGTAACTAGGATGACTTTCCAACTCCTCAATACCTAGCTTCCAAAAAGCGGTAAATAGAATAAAAAATATGCCATTAGTATTAGTTTTTCATGCTTGATAAAGATAACCCTACATAATGTTGTGATTTCAAAACAAATGCAAAATCACCACTGATCAAAATGCAAAATGAATTAAACATAAACCAGCAATAATTCGAAATGCTTGATATTTTATAAATGATGGAATTCAGCTTACTGATTAAAAATACTGTAGTTTACCTATTTCTGGAAGCTGACAACTACCCTCAACCAACATTGGCCACACGACTTTTCGGATGTCGTCATCTACTAATCCATAACGACTGATTGAGAAATGACGCAGCTTTTTAATGTCTCTTCCGTTTTTCAGACAGTTGATGATATCTTCCTTCTTACATAGATATTCGAAGCGCATGACTCAAACTTAGCGCTCCTTTGTATTCGAAATTCAATGCATCTAGTTGAGGCTCCTACGAAACTACTAATTCCTTAGCGATCGATCCTTGATTTTCAGGAAATTTCTCTTATTCTTATTGCTACAGTCATCGTGTCACTCAGATTTTCACTATTTAAAGCGTACGTTAGAAAGAAAGCCCATATAAGACATGAAAATCGGAAGGTGAAACCTGCTCACTTTCACTGTTGATTTCTAGATCATGTTAACAGGGAAATGCAAAAGTTTTTACATTGTGGCAAAACTAATCCAAGAAACAATAAAAAGGCGTGCATACATATCACTTCCGATGAGAATGATTATCAGCACAGTGGTTAGGACTCTCGCCGACCATGCACATGGTCCGGGGTTCGATCCCTTGCCGACGCACACCCGATATCTATGGTCGGTCAGCTAAATTTGGGCTACCGGTATCCATGCTGAAAATTCCATACTTGTACTGAAAATACGGTGTGGCATCAAGCTGTAAACAAAAAATACTCCTTCCCTTCATTCTGAGTGGAACGTGAGTTTTGAGCAGGACGTCTTCCTTCCTGCCATCAATTTCACCTCTCCCCATGAATACCCTCAAGCTTTCATTTCCTACTCACATAATCTCCCCCGTGCTGGTATCGGATACAAAGTCTGTCGATTTATATGTCTGGTACTGAGCAGTGTGGGTCTCCACACATATTTCAGAGTGGTAAACACCAGTCTCATCTTCCCAATTCGATTCCGGGTGGTTCAAACATTACCGTCTCTGCTACATGTAGTCGAAACAATAGTGTGTTCAAGTAAGCAGAATAAAAAACATCCTCTGGACCTCTCCCACTGATGGTGACTGGTGTTCGTCCCTGACATTCAATACATAGACCTTTCCCGCATTATTCCATATAACCATAAAATGTTTGCTATCCACATATCATTTCCACTTGAGGACTATGGATCCCTGGCTGACTTTCATCATTTCACATATTCCCTATAATTATTATTTCCATCATTCTTGCTGCATTTGCTATTGATATTGCTAACTACTTAACCATTTTCATATCTCTGTGGGTTAAGTTGCATACTTTTTACCTCAATATATACAAATTTTCCCATACCATATCGCTACTATGTGCTACGCAAACGACTGATAATCTTGCACACTTAAGTTCACTATTTCATATTTCGGTGTTCTGGTGGAGGAATTATGTCGTGCCCTTCTATTAACTCCGATAGAACCCTTCTAAAAGCCAGTTCATGTACCTGTATTAGACTTTTACTGGGAATACTTGCCACTAAGTAAGTGAGATTTGGTTATTGATTGTTTTGATATACATTGCGTAACTAAGTAATGTTTGTTTTGGTTTGCGTGCATTAGAAATTCAACTCTGCTATTAGTACAATCTCCCAAGTCTTCACTTGTGCCTTTTTTGAGACAACCTCCTCGGTATTTAGTCGAACGCAGCGTTTGATATATTAGAGACCGTAAAGATATGGTTGAATTCTAGTATACAGATTGGTGTCAGATCCTATTATGTGGTAAGTAGGCTAAATTTATGCTGCTGATGTCCGAAACGTAGCTGTGTAAATTATTCGTCTCTAATATTTTGGAAAGCAGACATTCTACACATTTAGTCTGTTTCAATGTTTAACGGTTTTGTCCTTATATGAGCTTCCAATTTTTATTCCAAGTTTGATAGAATGATGACATTTCTGGCAAATTATTGTAAATGACAGAAAATTCCCAGTCAACACGCCTTTCGTGGAATCAAAACTATTTGATAGCTATGTAACGCACTGTCCCTATAATTATAGTTACAATTATCAGCACTTTACCACACACAAGAAATGGAGTGGAGCGGTCTACCCAGAGCAGACTGGATTCAGTAAACACCAGTCATTATTGATGTTGCTCACTTCCTTTAGACCAAATGGAACATACAGTCTAAGCAGAATATTTACCTTATCCTGTCTTCTCAGACATTTACAATCCACAATCTGTGAATATCTCGACGATCCACACAGGATATCCAGTCGAACGATTGCCAGTATTGGTGCGAATATTACACTTCTGCTCCTAGCTCATATCGTCATAGGATCTTCAAGACCTCGCTGAGTGGGATAGTGAGGTGTTGTGCTCAATAACCACTTAAAACTAATAGTTTCCAGCGGCACTGACAATAGACTTTGTATTATCATTATGGAAGCAATCAACCACGTGCCAGTCTCATTCCACGATTGATCTCGGGTTACCTAAGTTCTACCTGAAGTTCGAGGACAACGATTGTGGATATTTCAGTGCTTGTACAAGCCGTATTCAATTACCGGATTGTTTAAGGTGCAAGATTCCGACAAGATATCTCATCCAATTCATCGAACGCCTCTCGACCAGTGATGAGTCTGATCACATTTTGGCTTGCATTCGAGTCACCCACCGAGAATTCGGTGTAGCTGTCTGACTGGGTTCTTGTCCATTAGTCCTCTTAGTTATTTGGATAATTGTAGCTCACTTTTTTCAGTTAAGTCTTAATGTCATTGTCCTGGAGATGGTTGGTCTTCCCTACATAATAGCCTTGGACACTGTTGATGATATAATGATAACCAAATGCTCTATATGCTTGTGGTTATCGTCCGGTTGATTAGAACAGATTATTGATCCTCCGTTTAGCAATTTGGATAGTCCATCCCATCTTACCCCGCAGACTCCTAGCACTTCTGTACCATACCTTTCCATTCTTTCAGAAACCTGGATAACCTTTCAACTACCCCTATTAAGGGTTACACTGGACTCTGCTGAAGAGGCCGAAAAGGTACTATTGATGGCTCAGGCACTAGCCATCGACAGAAGTTCGAACATAAGGGTGAGACAAGATCATGGGCTATCAGACAAATGACGACAGATTCACCGGAACTTTTGCCTTCTACCTTTATGGTGGTACACGGTGTTCCGGAGCTGGAAACGGGTACTGCTTGTGAAAAACACATGCATGACGTACAGCAATGGAGATGGCTGTCATCTCAGATGGCACTTGGCGCTTCTGGAGCCATCTCCATTTCCCGACTACCTCGCCCCGCTCATCTCACACTGGTTAGCTCTCCAAAGCTTCTAAATGCCACATTCAAATCCCCGGAGCAGTTGGCCATAGCACTTCAACGGTGGTATGAGACCAAGGGGAAAATGGGAGGACACATCCGATGCTGCGAAAGCAGGTCCCGAGCCATAAGGAGGCAGCAAACTGAGGCTTTAATACGTCCCCAAGCTTCAGTGACACTAGAGCGATGCAGTTCTGAGAGTAACAGTCTGTGTCACCTAAGTGTCCTGCCTAAATCCATGGAAAAAAACTACAATGGGCCGATTCCATTAGAATAGGCCAACTAGTCCCAACATTAAGTCCCCTGCCAGCAGACAGCTTCACGTCAACTACCCCACAACACGCTGAGTTTGTTAGACTCACTGTCAGCTGCCTATATAGTAATTTGTGGGGGCTGAGAGGAAAAATAGGAGAACTCCAAAATCTCCAAGCACACCTACAAGTGAAAATGATCATTCTCACTGAAACGCGGCTAACCCCCACTATCGCCGATAACGAAATCAGTATAGGTGGTATGGTTCTGGTCAGGATAATAAGGAAGGAGGGGGAGTTGCTATATACTTTGACAGGCAACTTAAATGTGGGCCCTAGTGTCATCGAAACTAGACTACATTCTAACTAGTGACCAACTACTCGTCGAAAAGGTCCAGATCATGACTCCTCTAGGAAGTAGTGACCATGCAGTCGTAGGTTTTGATCTGGTTCTCCATGAGCATTTGTAGTGGGACGTTACGCGACCATGTCTGTGTTACAGCAAGGCTGACTATGCTGAAATGCGGAGGCTCTTTCCGAGCAGACTGGCCCTTAGCATGGGATGAGCTATCTGTGGATGAACACTGGGAGGTGGTTAAAAAGATTATTCATACAGTAATCTCGAATACCGTCCCTTTAGTCACAACGCAACCCAAAAGAAAGTCATCATGGTTACAGAGAGGCACGCAACGTATTCCGCAAGCAAAGAGGAAGGCTTTGTTTACGTGGCGCGTATCTAAGAGTCAGATCGACCACGACGCATACCTGGAACTCAGGAACTGGTGCAATGCAAGAGTCAGGAGGGACAGGAGGTCATTCCAGGCTAACCTTGCTAAAATATCCTAGCAAACCCGAAAAACTTGTACCTATTCATGTCGGAAAGAAAACCAACCAGGGGCATGCGCCTAAGTAGGCCCAAACGGTCGATATCTCACTAGTCTGGAGATGGCTGAAATATTCGGTTTAGTCTTCGCCAAACAGCTAAACAGCAATGTGGGTATTACCGCTACGGACCAAAATGGTGGCACTACTATTTCACAGGAGGAAGACCTAGTGGCTACTTCCCAAATAAACCCCGCAATATTACTAAGGAAGCTACGGCGACTCACACCTGGGAAGTCCCTAGGTTGTGACGACATCAGGCCATCTGTTCTGAAACAGTGCGCTGAAGCTCTCTGTAGGCCCTTATGTAACTTGTTCCAACACTCAATGGACTCGGGGAAACTACCAAGAGCCATCCTTTCTCCAATCTTCAAGGGTGGGGATAGGGAAAATGACACTAGTTATAGACCAGTAGCTCTACTCCCAGTGGTATCAAAACTACTGGTCAGTATTATTGACGATCAATCAGGGAATATCTGGATAGGTCTAAAATACTCCATGAAGCCCAACACGGTTTCAGGAAAGGCAGATCCTGCGTTACTAACCTACTAACAGCTTGGGACGATTGGACTTCATGCTGGGATATGAATGTTCCAGTCCGTGTGGTCTTCCTAGACTTTGAGAAGGCATTCGACACTGTTCACTATGACTGTCAATGGACGTGAACATTGAACGTTTGTTTTACTGGGTCTGGCAGCCATTGGCAGGCAATTCAAGGCGCGAATGGAACGATCGCTTGCAAGTTGAAGGAAGACTGGATTTCAATACGAATAAAAGTACTTTATAACTTCATTTGT